CAGTGGCTTCCACTCCTTCCCCATATTAGCCTTTATCTTGAATCCTCTATAAATCCTCAAAAAGCTAGCTTGTTTCTTCTAAATGGCAGCCCACCTCCCTTAAATGTGTAAACGTAAGATATGCATCATTTAGGCTCAGGTCCTAACATGTTTGAACAGTGAGAGAAGGGGCCTCTTGATTAGTGGGGCTTCCTCACTGTGTGAAAAGCGGAGTATCTGAAGAAAAAATTTAAAATTTAAACATGAAAAAAGAGATAAAAGGAGATAACAGATTAGGTTCTAATGTTACTCGAGAATCAAACTCCCCTATCACTCGGAGTGAGGTGGAGGTTTTGGGGGCGTCGCTGAAATGACAATGGGATGTGGAAGAAGACTTTATTTGTATGAGGTTACATTTCCCAAGTTCCAAAGCCCCCTGCCCCTTGCGCCAGTCCTGGAAACGGTGCAGCTGGGGTTCCAGCAGAGCCAGAAACAAGGCCAGTGTCCAGAGCTCCCGCTCCAGGTTACAGCCGGGTGTGGTTCAGCATCCAACCTAATTAAAGTCCATGTGTGGAGTCCACCATGGCCATGTACCATGTGGGCACAGGGGAGTGCATCCCCCTGCCACAGGAGAGCCAGGAACCAAGGGCATGAGAAAGAGAAGGAAGGAACTTCCTTTGTTAGGAAGTTTTGAATATTCCGGTTTTGCTCTCTTGCAGTGGTCACACCCGTTCCAGCCACTGACTTGCTTTCAGGTGTGATTGACAGACCAGCACCTTCCCACATCGCTCAGACCTTGCTGGGCATGCGTCTGTCTGAGCTTCCCTTTCCTCCTTTCCTGTTAAATAATAGCCGGGTTACTACAACAGCATCACGAATAGCTCTTTACTTCCTGAGTTTTTCTCTTGCACTGAGTTACTGATGGATTCTGATAACTTTCTCAAAACAATAAATAATTCCTAAAATAATGTGACAAAAATAAAATGGAAAAAAACAAAAATATTATGGTATCTTCTTAAAAACAGTGGAGTATCTGGAAGCTTTAAGTTATGCACACAGAACTCAAGACAGGTGCTGGGAAAGTCCTTTGCAAACTGAGGTCATTGTGCACAAATCTCTGTTAGTAAGAATGAAGTCAAGACTATGCAGTGAGTCAGATAGGATTGCTTTAATTATTTTCCCTTAACAATCCCCGCTATGCCCAAAAGAAAATATCTTTAATTTTAACTTTCTCTGAAGAAAGAGAATGGTTTGTTTTTTGAGGATAAAACAAAACAAAACAACAATAGTAATTATTTAGCCATATTAATTTTAAAATACAGGCTTTATATACTATTCTCAGTGTAAATATTTCTGGTAATTGAAAGAAAGCAGGATAACCTTCACATTTCCAGTTTTACACCTTTTATTTAGGCCCAAATGTTTGGGAAATGAAAACTTGAGCAAACGAGTGTCTCCCACACGCTTTTGTGACATGCCATTAACTTTATTTATATTTCCCCAGCACGTTACCAGTTTTGTGCTATTCTTGTTAGAATGAAAACCAGGTAGAAAGACTTGCAGATTTATAATCAGCAACATCCTGCTTGCCTGTTGGCGTTGTTTTAAGTGTCCTTGAAGTTCTGTTAAATCTGGGCTGTACTAGCCGTGCTGAATACCTTTCTCCCCCTCAAGAGTTACGTGGCATGTAGAAGCCCCTTATAGCTTCAGAGCCTCAGCACAATGGCTGTGTCCTCTCTAGAATTGGGATTTACTCCTAGGACCTCAGTAGTTTCTTACCTTTCCTAGCCTCACCTTAGAATTTTAAAAAGTCTTAAAATAAAAGATATAGCATTGAAGCACTTTTAAAAATACCTAACCATTCACTTTATATTATTCCTTCCCAAAGAATCGAAGTCACAGGCTTACTAGACCATACACTGTTTAATGACTCTGTCGTGACTAACTGGCATGCTCTTGGGAGAGGATCTGATGGAGGTTCTGGAAGAAAGGCTGAGGGCAAGAGGAGCTTTAGGAGGTGGTTAGCAAACCCCCAGGCAGTGGTTGAAAGGGGAGAAATGCACTAAATAAACAAAGTCTTCTCAGGAATTGCCTTTCTGGTTGAGGTTGGGAATACATACTTGTTGCAGATTGCTCTAGAGCAGTGGTTCTCAACCTGTGGGTCGCGACCCCTTTGGGGGGTCGAACGACCCTTTCACACGGGTCGCCTAAGACCATCGGAAAACACATATATAATTACATATTGTTTTTGTGATTAATCACTATGCTTTAATTATGTTCAATTTGTAACAATGAAAATACATCCTGCATATCAGATATTTACATTATGATTCATAACAGTAGCAAAATTACAGTTATGAAGTAGCAACGAAAATAATTTTATGGTTGGGGGTCACCACAACATGAGGAACTGTATTAAAGGGTCGCGGCATTAGGAAGGTTGAGAACCACTGCTCTAAAGAATGACTTGGTTCCCTTTGGTTCAGATTCTGATGGCATTGTCCCCAAATGGCTAGATTTTAGGCACTTTCCTTATTGTCTGGACTCCCCTCTTAGAAATGCCAGAGTATAAGTGATCCCTCAAAGACACCTCAGTAAGTGCCCGCAGTGTAGGCAGCAAAGCTCTTAACTTTATAACTAAGGTTTTATCCCCAAAAGAATGATCAGTTCTGAGAAAGCACCTCTGATTGCCTTTGGTGGAATATTTTGAGATTCTTAACTTTTGTTTACCACAAGGAATAGTGGAGTGCCATCTGATGTCACTAATTTGTGGCCAGTGTATTTTACCCATTCAACAAATATATATTATGAGCACCTACTATGTTCCAGGCACTGTTCTAGGCACTCAAGATCCATCAGCATTAAAACAAAGATCATTGCCTTCATGAAGAACAAATCACAAAGGAGTAACATAATAAATAAGAAAATTATATTTTATGTGATTAGTCTGTTTGTGCTACCATAGCAAAATACCACTAAGTGATGGAAACAGTAGAAATTTATTTTTCACAGTTCTGAATGCTGAAGGTCCAAGATCAAGGTGCTGGCCAGTTTGGTTTCTTCTGAGGCCTCTTTCTCTCTTTGGCTTGAAGTTGGCCACCTTCTCGCTTTGTCCTCACATGTGTCTCTCTTCTTATAAGGACACCAGTCATATTGGATTAGGGTCCTACCCTAATGGCCTCATTTAACTTTAAGTACCTCCTTATCTCCAAATTCAGTCACAATGGGGTTTAGGGCTTTAACATATGGATTTGGGGGAGGGAGACATAATTCAATCTTAAACAGTATGTTATGAGATGATAAATACAGGGTGTCCCCAAAAATGTATACACACCTTAACAGCTGGTAGCTCAATTTTGAAAATGAAATGTATTTTAATAAACACTGCCTTTATAATTATTCAGAGTGTGTGCATGCATTTTTGGGACAACCTATATTTTAGGGAGAAAAGGAAGATTAAAGCAGAGTAAGAGAGACTGGGAGTACTGGGGAGGGGTTGCAATTTTGAACAGGATACTTCATTGAGAAGGTTGTATTTTATCAAAGACCTGGAGGTCAAGTTGCATTAGTGTTGTTATAACACAGGGACCAGAGGTGGAGGGTGGTGTGATGGAGGTTGGTCAGGGACACCAGATGGGCAGCCCATGGACTAGGTTCGAGTCCTAGCTCTTCCTCTTTCTGGTAGCAAAACTTCCAAATGTCATGTGGGGCCTCTGGGCTCCAGTTTCCAAATACGCTAGTCTGTATGAACTTGTGATTCCAGAATATATATTCATAGAGGGGCATGGGTAGAAAGAAAGACTTTTTTTGTGTCTGTGTGTATTGGCTGGGGCAGATGGTGGGCAAGGCGTAATAGGTGTTTGCTTTGGGGATGTATTTTTCTTCCTCTTATTTGTTAAGCAGGAATGGGCTTAAGGCTCATTCTATTAGGTGTTACTGAGAACTCTGTATCAGGATGAGATCTTCTTTCTCAAAAGACAGACACATCCAATATAACTAACCTAAAAGTTCCTACCACATGGCCTTTTAAAAGGAAGCAAGATGCCTGTGAAAGTTGCAAGTGGTAGTAGTGGATGCTTGCCTTCCTTCTTGGTCTTTCCTGAGTGGTATGTAGCTCAGTGGTTTGCTGTAACCAAGCCACAGAATCCATCCCATAATAGGCCAGCTAGCTCTGCCCTGACCACACACTCAACACCAACCAACCATGCTAAAAAGGAACCATGGACAAAGGACATAAGTGGAAACACTGGTGAAATCTGAATAAAATCTGGAGTTTAGATCATAGCAATGTGAATTTCTCAGTTCTGACAAATGCATCGTGGTTAGGTCAGATGTTAACATCGGGAATGCTGGGTGAAGGACTATGTGGGAACTCTTCCAACCATCTTTACAACTCCTCTGCAAATCTGAAATTATTCCAAAATAAATTTTCTTTAAAAAAAATACCCATTGTGGACTCGGAGATGACTTGGGCTACAGACATGGACCCCAAAACAATGCCAAGTGCACGTCCCACTGTTTGTGGGTCAGTGGTGTTGGCTTATAACAAAGTAAAAGCGCGATTTCTCTAGTCTGAGCTTTTCTTTCTGGCAAATTCTCCATCCTCACCTTACACTCCACCCCAGGTTTTCGCTGTGGGTGTTGCCTCTGACTCGTGTTTATATTCAATATTTTTTGGCAGGATAGCTGCCTGAAGGCATTATTCTATGATGGGATTTGGTGGGGAGAGGGCAAATAAGCCAGGGAGGCAGCCACATAGACAGGAAAGAAGACCTTGAGGGAGACCAAAGAGAAAGGCACGTTTCGAATAGGATAGGTTCGAAAGTTTCAGAAGCCCACGCGCTCACGGAGTGTATTGTATCTTTGTGCCCAGGGCACAGCTGATTTTGATTAGGTTGTGGTCCCTCCTGCTGTTAGCACAGTGTGATCGTGCATCCATACTTCATTAAGTTGGGGGCAGCTAAGAGGGGAGTGGCCTTTTATATCTGTATATATATATAATCCCTTTCTTCTTTTGACAGCTGCAAATCAGAAGGAGCCCATGAATCTTAACTTTCAAGTGAAAGAGGAGCCCCAGGAAGAGGAGGCCCTCAGTGCCTCCTTGCCTCGGTCCAGCTATGTGTTCAGTCCGGAATCTGAAGTGTCAGCCCCAAGCATCTCTGAGGACACACTGAAGGCCCAGGAAGGGAAGGGGAGTGGGCTAAGGCGGGACATGTCAGTCAAAGCAGCTTCTGAACTTCTCATGAAACTATCAGGTACTTGCTTTATTCTAAAACGCTCACGTCTGTTCATTTCATTTGGGAGCCAACCGGGTGGCTTCCTGCATGGCTCATCATTAGCCTAATGGCAGCACTAGTCGCGTTATTTCGGTGAATTCAGGGGTGATTGATCACGTGCCTTAAATTCCTGTGTTGTATGTATGAGTTTGTTTTCGGATGTTCACTGTATATCTGCCCTATTAAATGCGACCTAAATATGACTGCAAGTTGTTGGAAAACACTGCTGCTTTCTAAGATGCTGTAGGTCATGATTTTAAATGGATTCTAGTGACAGTCAAAGCACTTCTGCTAATTGATCAGATTATCTATTTTTTTCCCAAGTAAAGGACCTTGCATCTTTTGTGTATTTATACTTTACATTCTTTAAGAACCATTAAAAATATTTTTCCTAACCCAATAAGTAGTTGAGATGGCACTTGAAGTAATTATCCATAGAGTAGCAGTGAGATGTTAGAAATAGAACATTTCATAATGGGATGCTGCAATAATTAATCTCAGTCCTTAAGATGAATGACTTTTTAAATTAGTATCTAAATGTAATCCCAGCCTATCAAATGTTGGCAAAACATATTGTACTAGTAACTTGAAATGTATGTACCCCGCCTCTTATCCTCCCCCATCCCCTTCGGACCAGGTAAACATTTAGTGTCTTTTAGATTCAAAGGTGTGACTTTCAGAACATGGAAAGAAAAGTTATATCAATAATAATATTTACCAAGTCATACCACATCCTTAGTTCACAACTGCTTAAAGATAATTTTTAGAAATACTATTCAAAATGCTAATATGAATCAAAAGCTGTTTTCAGTTTGTAACTTGCTGTGGTTGGAGGATGAAAGCAGGATGTGCAGTAGGGCTCCTTCCTTGTATAATTTCCCAAGCAAATCTGACTGTGTTTCTGGTTGACCAGTAGGTTGGAAGTTAAGAGCTTAATAATGATTTACTTCGAGTCATTGTAATCAGAACAGTTGAAATTCCTGTATTTGCCAGTTGCGGGGGGTTAAGAATTCTTTCCTTTGGTGTTCATTCAAAATGCACTGGGACTTCAGGGGAGCGTGCTTTATTATAGATAAAATATAAAACCATCATTACATCCTACTGTAGCTTCATTTTTCTAAACTTGGCAATGATAGGGTAGCTTCCCCTATAAATGGGAGGCTTAGCAAGGCTGTGCTGATTGGTGAAAGTTTAAAAACATGACATTCAAGCCAACATACTTCCATACAGTTGAACCCTTCCCTCAGTGTCAGAGGCCTGGTGACAGAGAGGAATCTGCTTGTTGTTTTTTCAGTCAATTCAGAGAGGCCACCCAGCTCTCTGATTCCTTCCCATATCATAGGCTTTCATGTTGCAGGGACTTCAACTCTTCTACCAGTGACTCTTCCTCCTCCTGATGGTAAGAGTCTAGTGTATAATATTTCTATTTCAGAGTTTGCTGTGCAGCCAGTATTGTGAGCGGAGAAAGCTGGGGTGGCCCAGAAAGAGAATATGCAAAAATGAGATTTCAAGGAAGATGTTCTTTCTGGAAAAGCATTTTATCTTAATCCTCTCAGATGATGAGCATTGAGTCATGAAGTAGGAAATCATTTCCTAGTTAATGAGGTCCCTCAAATGGAATATGGCTATGCAGCCATGCACATTTGATGACATCTGTGTACAGAAGTGGCCTTTCTAAATGTTTATGTTGAGTTTTATTGAATCCACGTGCTGTGGGTTAAACAATAGTTGAATGGACGATATGATTGCATTTCCAAAGGGCATCTGCCCTGCTTTGTGGTGTGGAAGTGAAAATATCTTTGAAGACTAAGATAACTATTTTTTGCTCTGAAAAAATTTCCCAGCATTCTAAGTGCAAGAGACCTGGTTCAAAAAACATATGCAGCCCTAACCAGTTTGGCTCAGTGGATAGAGCGTCAGCCTGCGGACTAAAGGGTCCCAGGTTCGATTCCGGTCAAGCGCATGTACCTTGATTGTGGGCACATCCCCAGTGGGGGGTGTGCAGGAGGCAGCTGGTCGATGTTTCTCTCTCGTCGATGTTTCTAACTCTCTATCCCTTTCCTTTCCTCTCTGTAAAAATTCAAAAAAATATATTAAAAAAACACACAAAAAAAAACCACACAAAAAAACATATGCATCCTAGTCCCTACCCTCCAGATGCTTATGTCTGTCTGGTCAGGAGAAAGCCAGGGCAGGGGAATGCTTCCAGTAAGTGACTGGCACCTGGAGCTCCGTGCTTCCACTCTCTAGTGTCCTGCAAAGGAAGGTCCAAGCTAGTGCTCAGTATGGGCATGTGACTTAAAAACAAACGCCATCATTCCGAAGCCTCAAGGCAAAGAGGACTCACCCTTGATTAGGTTTAAGGTGGACATTGGAGTTTCTTAGCATGGATAGATTAGCGCTCTCAGAAGGAGGAAGGTGTTAGGAAAAACCCTGCTGCTCCGACTTTCCTCAGGTTGTAACTTTAACAATTTCAATGTTTGTGCCCTGAAAGACATCCAAATACAGGACTTGCCAGTGTGTTCAGACCCCCCTTTCCATGGGATAGACAAGGGTAATCATTCAGTCCCAAAGCATCTATGCAGGGGAGTCGGGGCTGCTCTGGTGCACCTCCCATGAGACCCCAGGCCTTACTGCTGGCATCCTGTCAGGCTGGGGAAAACCCTCTGGTCAGGAGGAGTCAGGGGAGAAAAGGGCGGCCCGGGCATTATCCTACATGTTTTTCCTTCTTTCAGTTTGGACTCAATGAACAGCTACGATGTAGAATGAAGGGTTTTTCCTGGAGGATGGAAGCTGTGATCTGTGGTAGTTTAGGCCCTTTTGGTCTTTTCATGGAATTAATAAGAGGGACTTAGTCAATAATGTTGGCTGCTTCAATTCCCATTTTAATTTATGATAACGCCTTAATGGATGTTGGGCCCGTGGCCCAGTCAAATATCATGTGAAACTTCCCTTATGTGGAGAAACCTCTGTAGTTATATTGTTTTCCAAATGGACAATTTACATTTCATGGGGAAAACACAGATGCGTTAGAGACTAGACTACATTTTTCATTAGCGGCGTGTTTGGGGACATCTGAGTTTTTTTCCTTCCTGTGGCTTGAGTTCTATGTCAGTTGTTAATTGGGAAGTCAAGTGCCTGACAGCTGGGCCGGATAAATTGATTACCATAAAGAAAGAAAGCCACTCCGGGAAACCACTCGGCACCCGCGACTACCTGTTGTTATCTGACACGAGGCAGCCAAAATGATCACACTTTTCTGCTAAGCGTATAGTTGCCAAAGATAATTCCCAGAAGTCTTGATTTAAGGAGGCCAACATGCCGAAGTTCAATACAGAGGATAAATGACATTCAACAGACTAAGGGAATCAAGTCACACTATTAAACTCCGGTTTTGCAGTGCCTAGTGACCTTGCAAACTTACGGAACAGATGTGTTACCACAGATAGGACTTAACGCTGAAAGGCACCAAATCCCGTCTGCGTTGTCTCTGTTGTGCTTGAAGGAAGCAGCGAGACTCAAAGAGATCAAGTCAGGCTCTCTTCTCCCTTTGGGGAGCCACGGGCTTTCACGGGGATCCGTATATAAAATGTACCACATATATGGTTGTACCTAGGTGTAGCGGGTAACAGTGATTTAAAAATGTGATTCCACAAAAATAAGTAGCTGGAAAGCCAGAGTTATTCAGAAACATTATTGAAAAACCAAACCTTTAAATGTATCCAACATGGTAAGTAAAACTGCATATCCAGACCTTAATTTGAAATCTGTCTATTGGTTTTCTTATTTCTGTTTGCAAAAAAGGACACCAAATGGATTTATATTCATTTCTGACTTATATTCATTTATCCCAGCCTAGTGTTGGAGAGGAATAGAAATGATAATTGCCTCTAGTAGAAGAATCCGAGCAGGCCCTGGATTTGAAATACATAGTGACGCAGAGTTCAGGGAATCAGCTAAATAAGCGCGGGCTTCAGCTATGAGGGATGTTGAAGCAGTTGAACTTGGGCAGGATGAAGTTTCAGGTAAATATAATCTCTGAGTGAACTGAAGCAGAGAAGAGAAGTACCTGAAGATGGACTTTATTAACAGTTTTCATTAGGGCTCTTTTGGTTGTAAATAAGAAATCCTCTTCAGCCAGTTTTGGCAAGAAGAGAATTTAATAGAAGATGGAGGTTTGGGGTTACTTATGGAGCGAACCCAAGGGCAGGGCATCCGTCGTCCGCTGAAGCCAGGGGCTGGAAGACTGTATGGAAGCCAGGAGGCCCTCACCCTCCACATCATTCCTCCTTCTCTCTGCACATACAGATGGACTTTTTCTGTTACCCAACCACTTGGTAGAACGTGGTGATGCCAACAGCTTCTGAGTTCAAAAGGGCAACTAGCCAGACCAGCGTGGCTCAATGGTTGAGTGTCGACCTATGTATGAACCAGGAGTTCAAAGTTTAATTCCCGGTCAGGGTATATGCCCAGGCTGCAGGTTCAATCCCCAGTGAGGGGCGTGCAGGAGGCAGCTGATCAATGATTCTTCCACATCCTTGATGTTTCTATCTCTCTCTCCCTCTCCCTTTCTCTCTGAAATCAATTTTTTTAAAAAGCAGGCATTGTTGTCATTAGTCTAGGACTTACTACAAATAGATACACTCTATAATTTTAAATGCAAACAGTTAAGTTTGGTTCAGTAGTGTCTTGATTTTCAATTTTCTCATTCTGCTTTAACAGAAAGTTTGACTCTCATCACTGGATATTTAAAAACTGTGGTTTGTATGCAGTCCCCAGTCATTTGCTATTAAAATGCCCCTTGCAGTTTATCTCTATTGCCAGCTATTTGCTTTTTAAATCAAACCAATTTACATCAAGTGTCTACAGAATATCTGCTAATCCCAGCAGGACCTAAAAGTCTCAACATTCATTATGCACTCGGAGAAATGGCTTTCTGTTGCACGCATCTGGCGTCAGCTGCCACAAAAGAAGCTATG